GGGAAAGAGACTTTTAATCCTTATTTAAAATACTGTGACAGTTACTAAATAAAAATAATTCTTATAAATCCAGGTAATAATAGTTACCAGCATTTAGTGAGCCCCTGCTTACAACACACCAGCTATGTGCTGGCTCCAGTAACGTAGATAGTACTATTCCTGCTCTGCAGCTGATTGCACTCAGGCTCAAAGAGGTTAAGAAACTTGCCTAAAGTGACACAGCTACTAAATAGTTAAGTGGGATCCAGACCCAGATCTGTCTAACTTAAAATCTCATTCCACTCTACCCTACTGTGCCTGTCAGGTAACAGAGAGAGAGGGGCAGTCTCACCATTAGCAAATGCTTGCCTGCAGGTGGCACGGTAGTCATATCAGAAATAGTGGAGACAGTAGTGTTAATAGCAGTACTAGCAGTACTAGTAGTAGTATTGTACTGGCACTCTATAAAACAGTGGTTTTATTCTGGGGAAAGTAAAGTTCTTGGAAATTTTACAAATTTATTTGCATGAATTATATTTATCTTTCTGGATAAAGGAAACGCTTTTTTTTTTTTTTTAAATTCTCAAAAGGGTTTGTAATCCAAAAAGGTGAAATCCATTGCTTAAAAAGGGATTCATTGAAACAGTTCTTGCTCTCCAGGGGTTCAAAGGGTTAAAGCAGAACCAACACAGACATGAGAACTTACAGAGAGCAAAATAAATAAAATGACAGTTAATAACATTTGTCATTGGGTGCAGGTCGAGGGTTCGAGAGAGTGCTGAGATGCCTGGCGGGGTGGAGAAAGTGGAAAGGAAATATTAAGAGGAAATTCAGAGAAAGGACTGGAATAAGATTATGAAGGCATGGGCCTAAGCTTTCCTATGTTTCGCTTCGACCCTTCAGGAGTAGAAATAGCACAAAGTCAGAATTCTGAGGCTCCTGGAAGATGGCGAGTCTCAGGGAACTTGGGTTGGTGGTGGTTAATCTGCAAGAGGCTCTTTCTAGCTACCTGCCCTTGTTGCTGGTCCAGTCCACTTGTCTGCACCCTGCCCAGAGTGCGGGCCAGGTGGTTTCCTGTCAGCACCAGGGAGAGGTACAAAGGGCTATCGGGGCAGGGCTTCAGGGATTGGAAATGCTGCCACTGAGGCAAAGGGAAGGGCGAGTAAGCAGGAGTTTCTGCTTCCTGCAGTTCTGTGTCGTGCTGTACCCCAGGGTCTTGGGGGTCATAAGGTCATGAGCTAGTGGTCAAGAGCTCTGCTTTCTTACATAACTTCATATATTTGTCCTTGCTTTTGCAATTTAGAAAAAGGATCCTCTTCCTGCAAAGTACGCCCAGCCTGCACAGACAAAGACTACTTCTACACACACACAGCCTGTGATGCCAATGGAGAGGTGGGTAGCATGATCTTGGGGTCCCTTTGCCCATTTCCTGGGCTTTACACATTTGGAGTTCCAGCAGTCACTGACGCTGGCACCAGAAAAACAACCCCACAGACCTCTGCAGTGACCCTGGTGCCAGTGGGAGGCAAAGTGAGATGACCTCACTCATTTTCAGGTCAGAAACTGTTTTTGCTGCATTTGTTCAATCACGTATTCATATAGGCTGTGTTTCAAAAGGCCATTTCATTTTCTTTTGATTTCTTCCATTTGCTTAGCACCTCTGGGCAATGACTGCCTGCCCACGCACACTTATTTCCGCATGGAACGCATCAGATTTGCGTCTCTTCCTTGCTTACTGGAGAACGAACTGATTTGAAGGGTCTGCTGGTTCCCTCTGGCCCCCGGCCTTCTGCCTCAGAAAGACTTTCCTTTGTAGTCCTCATCGTCACCGAGTCAGCAGTAATTTTTTTTTGAGTATTAACTACTGTGCCAGGCATTGTGCTCCAGCTGCAGAATCAGATTCTAAGACAGGCCCCTGCCCTCAGGGAGCATGGTCCTGTGTGGGAGCATGCAGACAGGAGAGAGGTGGGCCTGACCAAGGCAGCAAGATGTGTGGGGCACTGGGGGACCCTGGAAGAGAAGTGAGTAGGACTGGGGGCCAGGGAAGGCCTCTCAGAGGAGGTCATTTGTTCATTTCAACAGTCGGTCACTGTTCTAGGCACTAGGGACACAGCAATTAACAAAACCAAGGGAACGTCCACTCTCAGGGAGCTTAGATCTTTTTGGGGGCAAGTGGAGAGAACAACGGATAAACAAAAGGGTATGTAATACAGGGATGGAGTAAAAATAAAACAGGACTAGGAGACAGAGAATGACGGAGGGTGGAGAAGCTATTTTAGAGAGGGTGAAGATGACCTCTCTGAGGAAATGACATTTGAGCAGAGACCTGAATGAAATGAGGCTGGAGTCATTGCCCTTTCTAGGCAGAGGGCCCAGCAGGGATAGAGGAGGCAGGCATGTTCCTGTTAAGTGGGAGAAACAGCAGTCAGTGAGCAGGGATGGCTCAAGGGCACAAGTGGAAGGATCTCTTAGACACTCTGGGTGAATTGTCTGTATCTCTAACGCAGAGCTTCTCAAGAAGATAGAATTAGGAGTAGGGAAATATGCATTCAGCACCAAGCACGTGCTTGGCTATTAGGATGCATAAATATTTGCTGGCTGGACAGCTGCCTGAATCCTCCTTTTGCTAATTAAGCATGGGATAAAGTCTGGTCCTTAACAGTGATTGTTTATCATAGTCGTCTCTTCCTCCCATCCCTCCCCCAGCCCTCATGTTTGGAGGAACGTCTCCTTCCCCAGTAGCTAAGTGAGAACGGCTATTATCAGCTATACCTCAGACTCAGTTCTATAGGGTCTGATGTTCTATATGACCCTGTAAAAATTGTCATTTTCTTATCTTCAGTTGACTCACAAATGAAATGAGGACAGTCCTGCTCCTCTTCTCTATCATCTGGCTGAATATGGCTATCTTTGCTTCCTTCTGCCCCACTGCCTGCCTGGCTTAGGCCAAAGCCTTCTAGATCTGTAGTGTGCTCTTCTGCGCGCGAGCCTGGGTGTCTGCCCTCGCCTGACCTCTGGGGAGTTCAGATGCTGGGTTGGGCCAAAGCTAGCGCTCCCACCATTCACCCCAGCCAAGGCTCAGGGAAGAAGCCCTGTGGAGTGTATGTGAATGTGCAGTCCCCAGGAACCTTACAGAAGTCTCGTGCCTCATGCCCACTCTGGTTTTGCTCGGTTTCATGATTTCAGTTTGCCTGTCTTCTAAGCTGTATTTTAAAATCAAGGAACACACCTTGCGCCGACCCCCGTGATTGCCCTTGCAGCCTTTGCTGTGCCTCAGTGGTTTTTCTGGGACCTTAATGGCCAACCCACTGGGGCTGCTAATGTACTGCTCCAAGAGATGGCCCACAGTGGTTTTCCTGCTCCCCAGACAGTTCTTTCCATGACAAGCAAGGAAATAGGCTGGGTGGGATAAGTTAGAGCACAGCCTGGGGCTCTGGCCATTGGCTGCTCTTCTCTGGGAGGAAGGCTGAGCTGGGCGGGGGAGGAGGAGCCCCAGGGCTCACATTCAGTGAAGGCAGCACAGGCTCCTTCTAAGACCTTGTCATTTCTCATCCTGAATAAAATGGACAGATGTCTAATTCGTGCACCTTTTCATATGTATGGTATGCTGCACGGATCATTTTCATCATCACCTCAATGCAATCACAAGAGCGCCTTTTGTCTCCACCTTGACCCAAGGGCCACATAGGAAGCTTGGAGCTACCTAGCCTCACCCAACTCACCAGGGGCCTCCTTCAGATCATCTCCTCTTCTGTATCCAATGCTTCCATCAAAAGACTAGGGATGGCCCTAGTAAGTGACAGACACAATGTTTCTCTTGTCCACTGACCTGATGGCTGACCATTCCACATGCCTCCCTGTCCCCAGCTTTATGGAGCTATAATTGACATATAACACTGTGTGACTCTCAGGTATACAACATATTGATTTGATACATTTATAGATTACAAAATGATGACCACCACAGTGTTAGCTAATACCTCCATCATGTCACATGATTGCCATTTCTTTTTTGTTGTGAGAACATTTGAGATTTACTCTCTTAGCAACTCTCAAGTACATACTACAGTCTTATTAACTGTAACCACCATGCTGTACATTACATCCCCAGAACTTATTGATCTTATAACTGGAACTTTGATCAGCAGCATCCTCCTTGCTTTTATGTCCCAGAACACAGTGTCTACATGCCCGTGTGGATTGTTATCATGTGATTCTTGCCCTTGCCAGATGATGAGCTCCTGGAGGGCAAGAGCCACACCTCATTCATCTCTGAGTCACCAGGTCTGGCATATAGATAGGCTTTCTATAAATGCTGACTGAATAAATGAAAAAGCAAAGGCAACAACCTGGAAGACAAACTGGGACATCTCAGTCACTCCCCCTTTCCCCAGGGGTTGTGTAAGCCACCTCCACTCCATGCCTTTCTCTGTTCTGAAATTTTCACCAGCTGCTTTTCCTGTGACCCTGTAATAACAGGATTCTACATTGGAATCAGAGCTTTCTCTGGAGACAATTGGCCACTCCATTCCCTGTCACACAAGTCCTCATTAGGTATATTAGGTATATCCTTCTTCATCTCGTCAACAGTCATTCAGCAGATATGGAGCACAACCATGTGGCAGGTACTGGGCTAAGTGCTTGGGATACATCAGTGACCAAAACAAAGTTCCCCACCCCAGTGGAGCTTTCAGAATCCCCTTATCCTCAAGGTCAATATTCCTAAAGATGTGCTAAATCCCATACAGGCTGAGCTGTTCTTAATTCATTTCTGCAGACGCAGCTCATGTACAAATGGGCCCAGCCGAAAATCTGCGGTGAGGATCTCGAGGGGGCAGTGAAGCTGCCAGCCTCTGGCGTGAAGACCCGCTGCCCACCCTGCAACCCAGGCTTCTTCAAAACCAGCAACAGCACATGCGAGCCCTGCCCTTATGGCTCGTACTCCAACGGTTCTGGTAGGTAACCGTTTGCCACCTAGTCCCTGCGTCATTGCCATTCCCACATCACCCACAGGTGGGGCCCTGTGCTGCTCAGGGTTGTCTGCTGAACACGGACTCTCCTTCTAAGGGAGGCAGCAAGGGTCAGGCCACATCTGAGGACTAAGTTCAGGGGAAGAGAGGTCAGGGTGGGCTCTGAGTGTAGGTCACAGTCACACCTGAGAAATGCCTATCCTCCTCCTCGTTCCAACTGCGAATGTGATTCAGACCTGAGGGTACCCCATCTTCACCACAGAGGCTTCCGGCATGTGGCAGGGATGCTGACCAGGTTTGGGGAGCTGGGATGGCCAGCTTGATACAATCCGAACCTGAAAGCCATGCTGTAAAAGGGAGTTGTGGGATCCGTGTACCTATTAATGTGAAAGCATTTACCGATCAAAATGTGACAAATAGTATGAAATACATGGATCAGACTAGAAGATACACTTAAGTTTAAAAATAAAAATTTGGGGGGGGGAGGTAAGTAGGATAGCTGCAATGCTGAAATGAAGAGCCAGTGTTTATATTTGAGTTTGTTAAATACATTGTCAGACTGTTTTGGAGTCAACTCACTAGAACTGCAGCGTGCTCAGCACCACCCTTGCTTGGCTGCCCACAACTGCTGCCACTTGTCAGGGCAGCTACAGCCTTCTTGCTGAATGCTGGATCTTGTGGTTCCCCCAGATTGTAGCCACTGCCCAGCTGGGACCGAACCTGTCGTGGGATTTGAATACAAATGGTGGAACACGCTGCCTACGAACATGGAAACGACCGTTCTCAGTGGGATCAACTTTGAGTACAAGGGCATGACAGGTGAGGGCCTCTCCCCTTCCCACAGGGGCTCTTTCAGCTTCGTGTTTCTTTATCATAGTGATGTCTGGAGAAAAATGAGCTAATCAGACCTTGCGTTCCTTCCAAAGTTCCTTTCCTCGTGAGCACATATCCTGCCAAATCTGTTTGAGACAGAAGCGGGACTAGAAACAGCACACACACAGCCCAGACACCTTGCTCTTAGAGCTTCAGAGTCTCTGACTAAAGTAGTGAGATAAGTAACACGGTTTGTGTTCGGCACTGGTTCTGGACACCTGGAAGGACAGTATCATCTCTCTCTTCCAGAGTGTCATCTGGGTGCACGTTTGCCCTGCGCCTAAGACCACTGGGGCGTTAACTCTCCGCTCTCCTTTTCCAGGCTGGGAGGTGGCTGGTGATCACATTTACACAGCAGTCGGAGCCTCAGACAACGACTTCATGATTCTCACTCTGGTTGTGCCAGGATTTAGGTGAGGCATCCAAAACTAAAGGGAATCCCAGGCCACCCTAGCCTCATCCAAGTCCCACAAACCTTGGCACTTGTAGAGGAGGGGGCTCTGGCATGCTGAAGTATCAGTTCAGAACAGAGAGAACAAGGTAATGGCCTGACAAAGTGAACCTGAATGCTGATACAGGTTCTTAGTTGCTGCTCATGCTAATTTACCTACTGCTCTCCCGTCCCATCTAGCTTCTCCCATTAATTGTCCACATGCTACTTGAATTCTTCCTCCTCACAGCATCAGATAAGATTTTTTTTTTTTTTAAATAGGGCCAGAAGTGCCCATACACAGTTCATCTTTATTTAGGGCAAGAAGTCTGGGAGGGTTTCTTCTTATCATCATATTTATCCCTATATCCCAAGAAGACCTAGGGCAAACAATAGCAATTTGTTTGCCATTAAAAAAAATACTACAGACAGTGTGGCATGGTGGAAAGAGCACTGGACTGGAAAACAGGGCACTTGAACTTTGCCACCTACTGGCTTTGTGAACTTGGGAAAGTCACCATGCCCTTACAGCTTCAGGCTCTTGGTATGTAAAACAGTCTGTGATTTTGGACTAACTCAGGTTGAAATGATTCTTCCAGCCCATTGGTTAGCACAACTGTGTAGGCAGGAGATGGGGCCTGCACGTTTTCAGAATTCAAGCAAATGGCCAAAGCCAAAAGAAAAGCCATAAATCAATTTCCAAAGCCAAAATGAACTCTTCTGCCCATACGTGCTTTAAAGATGCACGGGAACCTCTGAATGGGCTTCCCAATTGCCAGTTGGGCTTCTCCGTTCCCTCCTTCAAGTTCCCTCCCTTTATCCCTGGCACAGTGCTTAGCCCACAGTGATTTCTCAGAAGGTATTAGCTCTCTTTCTCTTAATTTGCATTACTCAGAGGTGAGTAGATATATCCCAGGTTTGCAAGATAAGCAAACTTTTTAGACTTTTTTGGGGGGCAACAATCCCAAAGGTACTTTTCAATTTGCAAAGTATTGGAGTTTTGAAATATTGAAGTATTCTGATTGCCACAGTAAAGGTTTCCACACCTCACCCACCCACTCCCCCGCTGCCACCCTCCCCTGCCCCTTTGGGCATTTCTTCCCCAAAAGGACCAGCCTGAGAACTTAGCTGAAGAGATTACAAGTTGAAATATCTGCTCATCCAACCCAGGCAAAGCTCCTACTATCCCAGAGATTGAGCTGTTAAGTGAATGTAGACAATTTACATCTTATGACAGTGGTACTTCTCAAACTTTAGTGTACATATGCATCATCTGGGGATCATGTTAACATGCAGATTCTGATTCAGAGGATCTGGAGAGGGGCCTGAGGTTCTGCATGTCTAATAAGCTCTGAGTCTGGGAACCACACTCTGCTCGTGAGGCTATACAGTATTTTACACAGCACTTCTACATCTAGTTTGCCTTTGATTCTCACCACAATGGTGGGAGGTATATAGAAAGATATTATTAACTCTATTTTACAGATAGAAAACTACAGTTTGGCTACATTGAGGTCACACAGCCAGGGTGGCAGAACTGGACTTAGTCCATGCTCTTTCCAACATACTCAGAACTTAATCCTGTCCCCCAGTAGACCCCCTAATGCTGTCTGGGATCTTTAATAAGCACTGCTTGGTCTCTGGAACTTTTAATTTCTATGCCCACAGACCTCCACAGGCAGTGATGGCGGACACGGAGAATAAAGAGGTGGCCAGGATCACATTTGTCTTCGAGACCATCTGTTCTGTGAATTGTGAACTCTACTTCATGGTGGTACGTTTTCCTTTCTTTGCTCACTATGGGGCTTCTAGGACTATTGGGAGGGCTGGCCCCTTCAGCCCCATTGGTGCATCATCATAACTGACACTCTGATTATAGTGATTTCACAGAGGAAGGGCCCAGACTGTCCATCAGGGATATCACAGTTTAACCTGGGTCTGGCCAACTGTAAATCGTGATGGCCATTTGGGCAGTATGGGCACCCTCTTTCTCATCAGCCATTCAGACATCATGCCTTCTTGTCTTTCTTGGGTTCAGGGAGTGAATTCTAGGACCAACACTCCAGTGGAGACGTGGAAAGGTTCCAAAGGCAAGCAGTCCTATACCTACATCATTGAGGAGAACGCTACCATGAGCTTCACCTGGGCCTTCCAGAGGACCACTTTTCATGAGATAGTAAGCTCCTCCCCTTCCTCAGACCCTGGATGCCAGAAGAGACCTCTGAATCCAGGATTCCTAGCATTGGCTTAAGTAGGAGTGTGAAGTTCAGAATTCAAGGGTTAAAAGGATCTTAAGGAGTCAACCAGAGAACTGCCTATTCCAGCCCTAGGTTGTATATTTTATTGATCACAGCCACATGGACATATATCTGTTAAGGCATTAATTTATACAGTCTACAAACATTACTCAGCATAGCCGTGGAATAGAGAAGCATCTAGCCTTGTCCAAATGGCTTCCAGGTAAGCCCTTTAAATTACCTGTCTCCTCAGCAGCCCCCACCTTGAGGACCAGTGTGGTGCCTGACCTGGTATACCCTGTTCATCTCAGTTGTTGTTTTTAATAATAATAACTCTGGTTTGTATTTTCTTAACTTGAAATAATGCAAGTTCACTCAGACACTTAGAAGATAGAAAGAAACAAAAGGAAGAAATAAAATCACCCATAGTCCTACTACCCAGTTAGCATCTAAGTATTTCCTATACAGGACAGGACATACTGACATACTCTACGAATACATCCTTCCACAGAGAAAAGACCTGCTTTTTTCATTTAACGGTATCTACTGCATATTTCCTCATGGCACTTAACATCATTTTAAATGGTCCTGTCTTGTTTTAAAAATCACATGAAATGTATAAAGAGCTACTGTTAGGTGATTAAAAATGCTATCAAGATTTTCTCAAGCATTATAGGATAAAAAAGATTGAGTAGTAATTTCTATTTCCAGAGAACTCAATTACTGCTGGTTTCTCAGGCCTCTGCCCTCTCTCCTCTCGTTTCCTTGTTCCCAGGGCAGAAAGTACACCAGTGATGTCGCGAAGATCTACTCCATCAATATCACCAATGTCATGGATGGGGTGGCCTCCTACTGCCGTCCCTGTGCCCTGGAAGCCTCTGACATGGGCTCCTCCTGCACCTCTTGTCCTGCTGGCTACTACATTGATCGGGATTCAGGAACCTGCCACTCCTGCCCCCCTGACACAATCCTGAAAGCCCACCAGCCCTATGGAGTCCAGGCTTGCAAGCCCTGTGGTCCAGGGACCAAGAGCAACAAGGTGCTAGCAGTGTGTCGTGCATCCTAACCATGGTCCTCTGGACAGACCACCTCAGAGGGTACCAGGTCCTAGACGGGGTTCTTAAGGTGCTGATCCCCAAGCACTCCCTGCAGCATGCTCCCAGGCTGGAGTCCTGGAGGACACTCATCCCGGCTGTGACTGTAGATGGCAAATTCTTACCTGTGGTAGTTGGTTTTCAAGGTCTAGGCCTCAGTCATGGTCAAGCCTATCTTCAAGAGACAGGCAAGGGAGATCTGTGACCATCTGGTCCAAAGGGTTATTTGGCATCTATGCAGAGACCTGAAGGAAAAAAATAGTGGGACCTGTGGCTCAAATTCAGCCTACTTCAATCCAGCCTATTCTCATGAGAATTTGCCCCCTCTTCTTTGAGAAAGTAACCCACCTTTCCCAGACATATAGTTAATTGACATTGCTGTCTTCTATCCCAGTAGTTTCTTCGAATGTAGAAAAACAGTGCTGTTGGTCCCATGTACTATCTGAATCTAAGAAAGTATTGTGACTAAAAACTCTTAAGTATTCACTAATGATTTCAGATGAACTGCATTTTACTGATCACAACCACATGGATATACATCTATAAGGCATTATTTATACAGCCTGCTAACAGTGCTCAGTTTAGCTGGGCAGTAAGTGCAATAATTTTACAGACCCCTGACAACCTCTTTCGGGCACCCTGGACTTCTGCCACATAAACTTCTCCCCTGGGGCTCCCTCTGCTGCTATGTGAGGGAATGACAGCTGTGTCAGGCAGGTGCTGAGTGGGGACTCTAAAACAGAGCAAGGAGAATAAAGCCCCTTTTGAAGTTCAGTTTCCTACAGAGCACTTGAGAAAGAGGAAGCAAGGTTCAGTGAGTTTGATATGGAGGGAGGAGACAATGCTTTTAGTTTTCTCTCCTGCCATCCTGGACACCCTTCTTCCAGTTAGCACCCAGTTGTCTTCTGCTTGACAGTATGAAGGGCTATCTTGTGTCTTGAGAGTTCTATAATCCAAGCATAGGTAGGGGCAACACTATAGGATCTGACCCAACTACTTACTGAAAAATAATGGGTTTGGGTTTGTACATCATATATGTGCTAATAATTGAATGGCGAGATGTACATAAACCCCACTAGCCCATTTTACTTCTTTTAGTGCATCCGCCCCCCACAATTCTTAATTCCTCTTCCTTCACCCCCCTTGGGCTGGACGAGTCTGGGTCTCCACTGTAGTCCCCTCAAAGGCCCTGCTCGAGCAGCCAGCCTGATGGCTCCCTTTCCCCTCAGATCCATTCTCTGTGCTACAACGATTGCACCTTCTCGATCAGCACTCCGAGCAGGACTTTCAACTACAACTTCTTGGCTCTGGCAGACACCATCTCTCTGGCCGGAGGGCCAAGCTTCACTTCCAAAGGGCTGAAATATTTCCATCACTTTACCCTCAGTCTCTGTGGAAACGAGGTAAGGTGTACAAGTGCTAACAGTGTGAGAATTGAAAGGGGAAGCAAGTGGATCAGAGAACAAAGACGGGCGTAGGAGAAAAGCTAGAAAACCTTCAGGCAGCAGGGGATTGAGAAGATGACAGGTTTTTAAATGATTATTAGTCTCCCTGAGGACCCTCTCCTCTAAAATTAAATCATGTGGGTAATTAAAATTTAGGAAAATAAAAGTGTTTCAAATAAGGTGTCCACTTACTCTTCCCTGACCTTTATTCCCTCAAATGAGTATATAAAAACTATATGGAGAGAAGATTTTTTTTCCCTTAAAAAAGCAGTTTTCAGTAATCATGGCACTTATCATTTGTTTCCTAGAGGCTGGATAAAGGAAATTATTCTTAGATCAGTTACATGTATCTTTGCTGATAGAACAAAAGAAAGTAACATGAAGGGGTTTATAAGATAAAGTATGTTACAATCGGCCACTTCATGCTGCTGTAAATATTGTGGATCCAATATTCAAAGGCAGAAATATAAAGGGTGATCACACCAGTAGTGCACTTGACTAAATTACAGACAAGCAAGGATTAGCACTTTTCGGAAAGTTAGTTTCAAATGTTACAAAATAAAGAATATACTGAGCATTTAGTTTGTGACTCTATGTTGAGGTGAGGTCTTGACACCACATAGCTTCTACCCATCTTCTGTAGTATACAAAAAAAAGTTTGTATTTACATAGAGAACATGTCAAAAAATAAACTAATCTATGAAAGATTAGAGAGAGGTGTCTCTATCTTGTTTATAAAAGTCTTTGAAGAAGTTAAAAACCTCAGAAGTGACAGCTAGTGATAACTCAGGTATTGAGACTAATTAATGTCCTATGTATCAAAAGTTTCATTCAGATGAGATAGAGGAATTCGGAGAGTTTGAGAGGAGGGGGGATTGTTTGTTTGTTTTTGCTTTTCTCCTTTATTCTTTCCAGAAATGCTTACTGTGTATTGTCATACTTTTATTTAGTTTGTGACAGTTCGAAACAAAATAACTCTTTTATTATAATGTGAAGGTTTCTTTCTCGTGTTCTCTATTTCTTACAATCTAGAAAATAAACTAAGATATCAGATTTAGCAATTCGGCTTGATTTGTAATAAAATGTATAATTTTGAAAATCTTACATTCTAAATACTTAGGCCGCTTACATTAGCAAACAAGTTATATATTGATATTCCATAAATTTAATATTTTTGAAGGATCAATACCTCAATATTTCTATTACAAAATCTCAAGGAAGTAGTCTCAATTCCTACTGTCTTCCAGATTTCCTATACAATGAAGGTTGCTAAAAACTGCAGAAGCAAACTGTCTTCTCTTGAAAATTTTTTTAATGACAAAAGTTCCAGTTGGTACTAAGATGTCCTATCTCAAGATGGGGAAGGGGCTAGTTAGTTATGCATCTGTTTTAACCCCTGGGAGTCTGTCTGGAAAGTGCTTCTGAGACAAGAATGGTGGAATCACAGTACCAAGGGAGACACAGAGAAGGAATGTGAACGAGGCCAGGTGTCAAACAATTTCATTGGATCAATTACAGATGTCAGTATCTGTTTAGAAAACTGAGTAGGATAAGAAAGGCCCTTAACTGGTGGCTGGTAGACCAGACCTCCAAATCAGCTGCCACCATTACAACCCTACTCATATAGGGTTTCCATCTGATTCCAAAGAAACAAAAAGACTGGGGGACCCCTGGGCCAGAGTTCCAGAAACTAGGACACCTAGGCCTTATTTTTAGCTTTTTTTTTTTTTTTTAAATCTGTCTTGTAATTAGATCTGAGATGAATCATTCCACTGCGACATACCATTAGAAGGCTAAAATTTTAGATGTGAGAAAACTCTTTCCTGTTCCTTTTTGGGAGTCTTGTAACCATTGCTCCTTCCTACTTCTTTCTCCCCAAATCCCACCCCCAGGGTAAGAAAATGTCCGTTTGCACTGACAATGTCACTGACCTCCGGATTCCTGAGGGTGAGTCAGGTTTCTCCAAATCCATCACAGCCTACGTCTGCCAGGCGGTCATCATTCCCCCAGAGGTGACAGGCTATAAGGCTGGAGTGTCCTCACAGCCTGTCAGCCTTGCTGATCGACTTATCGGTGAGTAACCTAGCTGCTCCAGCTTGTCTGAGTGTATGTGCATGAAAGAGAAAGTTAGGCTACCAGGCTCTGAGGTAAAAAGGCCCCAGATGAGGGGCCCAATCTCCTGACCTGTTTTCTATTCCATCCTGGGGTGCCAAGTGCCCCTAGGGCTTCTGAGAAACCTTTGGTTCACCCTTTCGTGAGCTACTCAGGGATGTGATGAGATGAAAGAAGGTTGGACATTGACAGATATTGAAAGAATTGAAGTGGTTGCCAGCTAATGCTACTATTAAGAAGTAACTAGGAGCTCTGACTTGGCAGGGGTGACAACAGATATGACTCTGGATGGAATCACCTCCCGAGCTGAACTTTTCCACCCGGAGTCCTTGGGAATACCGGATGTAATCTTCTTTTACAGGTGATGTGAGGCTAGGCTAATGCAAGTAAAACCTTGGGCTCCTCCACAATTTCTGTTGCATCCCTCTCTTGCTAGCCACCTATTACTTATCAAGCTAGAACACGTCCAAGATCTACCAGATCTACCCAGCAATGATAGCTGAAGGCTGGGAGTTCCCTGATCCCAGCTTTTTGGGTATTACTGGGGCAAGTCTGCCTTGGAGGCAGGGACAAATATTGAATAATCTGTAGCAGACTTCTCTTCCCACCTGAGGACACTCCAGTGTTATGCACATGCTAACCTTTCCTAAACCAGTGCATTTCCCCTTGCCCAGATCTCCCCAATCCCTACTCTCTCCTTGTATGAACTCCCTGTATGTCAGGCTAGAGCTCAAAACCAGACTTCCCCAGCAAGGAATCTGTGCCATGCTAACTTCACTTAGGGACTCTCCAATGGCACAGATATGTGACTCATTCCCTCATGGGAACTGGCTTTCACTGCAGATCCAATGATGTGACTCAGTCCTGCACTTCTGGGAGATCAACCACCATCCGCGTCAGGTGTAGTCCACTGAAACCTGCCCCTGGAAGTCTGTCACTGCCAAGGTAAAGGGATAACAAAGTCTCCCTTTCTTGGGCTCATTCCATCTCAAAAGCCAAAGATTACCAAAAAAAAGAGCAAACAAGAAAACAGTGTGAGATCCATTAGGGGCTCTTGAAGACATAGTCATGCTCTAAACCCACAATCGTCAGATGTCAAGGATGGGGGCAGAAGGAAGAAGCATTTCCCAACCATTACGGGGGCAGATGCATAGCAAACTGGCTAACTACTGGGCCTGAGAGCCAGATTCGATTCATCTCCTCTATTCACTAGCTCTGTTATCATGGATACATTTCTTGTCTTCTCTAGACCTCTTTTTCATTATCTGTAAGATGGAGATATTATAATAATAAGTTCCATCAGGGGCTTGTTGTGAAGATTAAATCAGACAATGAGAGGTGAAGACGTCTCATGTTGCCTGGCTGTGGATCTGCTATGACTAGGGTTAATAAAGGTTTGGAAGTCTCACCACAACTAAAAGATCCAATTCTGAGTTTAATAGCTGAGTGCACTAAATCCAGAATTCCCAAACTAATTTAATTACAGTGCCCCTCCACCTCACCTTTTTTTTTTTTTTCATATAACACCAACTAACATCGTGAATGGCATTAGTGTCTTGAGAAAGATGCTTTGGGAAATGCTTCTCAAAAACAACTGATCACGGAGATGGGGAACAAAGCAGGATAGTGTAACCCAGCCATGGCATCAAATGTAAGATCACTGTTGTTGTTGTCAAAATCACAGGAAAGGACATAACATGTATCCATGACCTGAAGTCCATTCCTGAACTCCACCTCTAGAAGCTGCATCGAAGTGACTTCTGAAAAATGTTACATGTCCATGGGGAGAAAAGGACCCTCTGAGGGCTTGGCTAGAGCTCCATGCTAGAGCTCTAGTGGCAGCCATGCTAGAGCTCAAGACACCTTACATTAGCTCTGATCTGATGTCAGGAGAAACAAAACATAGGGGAGGGAGCCCAATGGAAGCTAGGGAGGCTTCTTATCCTCAGGGAAATCAGAGAGCAAAACCTAGGTTACGAGTTAGTTCGAAGGATACAGGTGGGACTAACAGTTTGGCAAGAAGAGGATGGATCAGGCAAGCTGTGAGATGAGAGCCCTCCAACCAGATCTTCCCCACCGGTCCAGCGAGTGAGCGCCCAAGTCTCCTTTTTGCATCCTAGCACATGCTCCGATGGGACCTGCGATGGCTGTAACTTCCACTTCCTGTGGGAGAGCGTGGCTGCTTGCCCGCTCTGCTCCACCGCCGACTACCATGCTATCATCAGCAGCTGTGTGGCTGGGATCCAGGTAGGTTTCTCTGCTTGGGAACTTCCCCAGAGAGGAGGGAATGTGATATCTGAGTTCCCTGTTTTTCTCCCCAACAGAAGACTACTTATGTGTGGCGAGAACCAAAGCTATGCGTGAGTGGCATCTCCCTACCTGAGCAGAGAGTCACCATCTGCAAAACGATAGATTTCTGGCTGAAAGTGGGCATCTCTGCAGGCACCTGTACTGCCATACTGCTCACCGTCTTGACCTGTTACTTTTGGAAAAAGAATCAAAAGTACATATGATGGGGTACTGGAGTTTGGGGATAGACAGGGTTAGATCACTGAGCTGGGAGGAGAACATATGAAAGGATAAATTCCTGGGGCTTTTTTCTGGAGTTGGCCACACACTCTATGGCTCTGGCCAGAGATCTGTTGAGCCACTTATCTATCCAGTGTACACCTTGGTTATCCCGACTCCTGAACACGGACAGTACCACATGACAGCCTCTAAATGCCTGTTAGATTCTCAAAAGAAAAGCAAAGAGTATCCTTACTTTGTTGTTATTAATAATAAAAATAATCACTTTATGAATCCACTATTTCTATTAAGCTTTGAGATCAAAGAAACAGCCAGTCTTAAGGAAAGAAAGACTGCTGACCTGGGGGTCGAGATTGCTTAGCTATCCGCCCAGCCTAACACCACCTTGCTATGCGCTTCAGTTTCCTTACCCATGGTATGGGAACATCTGTTCACAGCCCAACCCCTCTCCTTCCTTCCCCCTTATTCCACATTTTGGTGTCTTGTCTTTCCCATCCCTCTTTTTCACAGACTAGAGTACAAGTACTCCAAGCTGGTGATGAATGCTACCCTTAAGGACTGTGACCTGCCAGCAGCCGATAGCTGTGCCATCATGGAAGGCGAGGACGTGGAGGATGACCTCATCTTTACCAGCAAGAAGTCACTCTTTGGGAAGATCAAATCGTTTACCTCAAAGGTAGGGAGACTGGCCAGTGCACCGAGGTCAGCCTGGAGGACTGGAGAAGACAGTGAATGGGCCCATATTGTTTAGGAACCACTACTCTGCTCCCTACTCTTCATACGATTCTGTCACCCTACCCTGAAAATCCTGATTTCTGCTTTCTGCATTTTCACACTAATACTCTTTTCCCTGGGGTCCAAGGCTACTCTTGACCAGGCTCCTTCTGCTCCAACATGCACTCAGTTTGGGCCTTTTAACTTCCAAGAGTATTGAACCATCCATGTTGTAAGAATCATTCCCACCCACCTCCTAGCCCCTTTTCTTTTTTGGAGGGAGGGGAAGAGGTTCCCTAGGCTCAACTTCTGATAGGAGAGACTCTCCTTTGGCCAGTGGAGGGTGCTGTCCTCCAGATGTTTGAGTTGGTCCTCTGTGGCAGAGCCATAGCTAAGTTTAAGCTGTTCAGCACTGAGCAATTCTGAGCTGGGAGTCATTGGCTTTGCGTCAGTGAGTGAGTGAGTTTGAAGCTCATAAATGCAAGACAGACAACACTGTCGCTGGGCGCGGGGCCAGCAGACAGCATCCAAGCAACTCCCCCAGAGCCGCAGTCCTCTGCAGCCCCACTCTGCCAGCACCTAAACCTCACTACTACCCTGAACCAGTTCATCCAACCAGGTGTGAACAGAGTGGGTGGTAAAACAGGAAGAGAGGACGGGGAGGGATGGTGAGGAAAGGAGGGTAGGCGTTTAGGTTGCTGAATCTCATTCCCTCTGTGCTGATCTACCAGGGTGATTCCCTTGGCCTCCTTAGACCTTGATTTTTTTTTTTTTTTTTACCAGCGGGAAAACAAGTCACTCTGGGACCCTTGAGTCTTTCTGAAACTTCTAGACTTCAACAAAGATGCAAAGCAGAGGGTTTTAAAGGTTTTTCTTATCCTCTGACTGAAGGAAGTGAGAAGAATAGAGGGTACCTTATGTATGTTTCCACAAAGACACTGAAAGCAGAAATTCCATAAGGGTTCCTTCTGTCACCTATTTTCCATTTCTCTCCTTTGCCCAAACTTGCCCCTGTGCAGCAGCCAGCTCCTGTCACCATCTCTCTTTCAGAGGACTCCTGATGGATTTGACTCGGTGCCACTGAAGACATCCTCAGGAGGTCCAGACATGGACCTGTGAGAGGCACTGACCTGCCTCCCCTGCCTCCTCACCTTGGCACATCACCTTGCAAGCCTGTGGCGATTTGGGTGGAGCTTCCTGCAACACCCACTGCTGAAAATCTCTTCATTGTGGCCTTATCAGAAGAAGTTTGAATTTCAGATCTTTGTTTTTTTTTTTTTATAAAGTACCCGAACTTTCCTTTCTGCTTGCCTCGAACCTACCAAATATACCCATACTTTGTTTGTATATTACTCCCTTGCTTGCATCTTGTTTCCCAAATTGGTCAAGTCGCCGGAGCCACAGCTTCATCTGCTCATAATTCTTATAGCTCTGAAACGAAAAGACTTCTCTCTTCTTAAGTATAGAAACGACATCCTCTGACAGCTTATTTAAGGGTGGAAGCAACTAGGAGTTTCCCTGATCATATGCCCTTGGCTCACGATCTTTTTTAGGAGGTAGGCTGGGTAAGGAGGGTACTGGGATGCCTTGATAGACCATCTTCATGGTTGCCTGGATTCATCTCTCCTGGATAACCAGCTCAAACTGAGTGTAATGGATAGGCCGAGGGCCAGATGAGTAAGGCCTGGGCAAGAAAAGGCTTGATAAGCACAAAGACAGACAATAAGGAAGGTTTTGTTTTAGTCTTTAAACTAGGTACTTCGATTCCCTTTTCTTAAGTAAGTGATAAATATTCTCATTGGAGCCAAAGTAAAAAGTTCATTAAGAAAATGCCTGAAGGCCAGGTGTATCTACTTTTTCTATTCTTTTTTAAATCTCTCACTATCTCCCTATAACACTAAAGAATCATGTAAGCACCAAACCCAGGTGGTCTAGATTATGTCTGTACCCACAGAGATGACAAACCCTACCGTTGAGGAAAATTCCCCATACTTGAGTGCCCCGTCTCAAGAGGCTTGGGCTGTGTCATGAAACAGGGGTACCATATTTTACAAGAATACAAGGAGACCAAGGTTTTAATGGGGCCATACTGGGGGATCCAGCCCACAATGGGATGGACCTGAGGTAGACATGTCTGCTTCTAAGCTTTTAGTCTGCTCAGCCACAGAATAAACAACTTCTAGGCTGGCCAAGAAAGGAAGTGACTTCCAGGCCCATACCCCAGCAGCAGAACCAGATCAATCTTCAAGGAAGACCAGAGGAGTTAAACAAGGTGTTCACCAAATTGGGACACTTCGCACTTTCAAGCCCCTGTCCTTCCCTTTTCCCTTTTCTCTTTTCTTTGTGTGCTAAAAAAAAAAAAAAAAAAAAAAAAAAAACAAAAAAGATTTTTTCTGGCAGCATTCTTTTGAACGGTGAGTAAAGGTAGTGTCCTCTGTGCCCCCTTTTCTCCACTTTTACACCAAGTTTAAATGATGAACTTTAACCAGAATGGTAAAAACCAGAGCAAGAGTTTAAGTCTGCTTTTTCCATTACTGGCGATTCTTCCCCCATCACCACCACTATCAGGCTAGAATGGCCACCCCTTGGTCAAGGGCCCAGGTGCCCATGGTTTGTGCCTGTCTCCTTTCTCGAGTGGCCATTTGGTGACTAGACAGCATATATGGAACAAAGAGAGCACTTCTAAGCAGTTTGACTGTCATGAAATGGCTTGCTGGGCCTACTAGCAATTGCTGCCCCGGCAGTAGTCTTATAAAAGGGTCAGTGAGAACTGTAGCCCTGCCATGGCTCCTGGCCAACAAAAGCATCACTAAAGGCAGGCAGTCTCTTTGATTCAAATAATCTAGAAGCTTTTCTTTGGGTATCTAAATTCTCCCTCCTCTTGTGGAAGTCAGGCTCTCAGAAGCTGTGACCATATTGGAATTTCTCCAAATGAATGCAGATAGCTAGCTCCTGAGCTCCAGCCTAAGGTTTTCTGCATCCTCGGCAATACCCTGGGCATCCGCTTGCCCACTGAATAACTTGCTTTTGTGACAAAGCCCACAGAAAATCTTTAGGCTATTCTAGTAGCAGTAGGGCATAGAACATACTCAGTTGACATCTTTATTCTGACATCTTGAAACGGAATGCTCCCAAGGCAACCTCAAACTCCACTGATTAGTCATAATACTTTAAGGATCTCCTTTCTACTATTCCTTACTGTACAACTTCTGTGGATCTTCCTTCCCTGTGTCCTTCCAGTAACTCAGTTATGCTATCAGGGTCACCTATTGCTCCCCTAGCAACTGAAACACGTTAAAAATTTTTCAACAGCTCTTTTGAGATGTAATTCAAATACTATACAACTCACTCATTTAAAATGTACAATTCGATGGATTTTAGTATACTCATAGAATTGTGCGTCCATCACTACAACCGATTTTAGAACAGACACGATAGATGGTATACGGGAAAAGCCTTTAGCCCTTCAACTAAGGCTACTGTAGTTTGCATAAGCTATTGGGGGAGGCAGTGTGGGCTCAGGTTAAACTCCATTTGGTTACCTAGAGTCCTAGAATACACAAGGAGCTCTCCTCATGTAGGTGTCACCTACATTTGGCTGGGCATACAAATGGAGATTGTGGTGTATTCTAGGACCAGGGGATTTCTTATCCCAACACTTTTTTTTAAAATCTGACTTGACATTAAAGATGACTGACTATATTTATATAACAGAATTTGTAACAAATTTTTCAGCTTTGTGAAACCAAATTTCTGTCTCATCCAGACTGGTTGGATTTCCTTTTTAATCTGTATTCTGAGAGTTTGTGGTTTGTTTGGGGATGGGTATTGCATGTCACTTTTTTGTGTGTGAAATAAAAACATACCTTTCAAGTTGTTTTTCTTAAACATGGGTTGGATGGCTAGATAAATGAGTGAGAAATGGTAAATGTCCTTGAAGCTAAAACTGAAGAGAAGGATTTTAGACCCCCAAAAGTTACAGATAAAAGAAGCAAACTGTGGAGCAATACAGCCCTAGGCTAGAAGCCTCTCACCACCTGATGAGGAATCAGCCAACAACCAAAGTCTCAGTTTTCACAATAATAAAATGCATCTAAAGATTCCTCACCTCCCAAGATTGGGTGAGAGTCAAAAGAGAGAACATAAAACACTTGACATGCTAGTTCTTTTCCATTCTAGTTCAGTTTTCTTGATGGTGGCACCAAGGTCAGCCACATAACGTGTCCACAAACATAAGTAAAATTAGTTTGTTTGGGTCTGAGGTGAACTGTTACAGACTAGTGTGGATAAAGGCCTAGAGGACATCAATTTCCCAGGGGATTGGGGTTTTCCTGCCTCAGCGCTTTTCTTCATTCTAGTTGAGGGCACTTAAATCCCTAGAAAGAATTCCCTCAGCTGGTTGGTTTTGACCTACATCTGTTCTGACTAGGTGGTACCTGGGTTGTATTGATGGTTAAATATTTTAAATATCAACCCTGCTTATAGGATAAAGTCTGTAAGTAGGTGTGACATTTACCTTCCTCTTAAGAAGGAAAGTAGAAAAGGAAACAGGCATTAATGTGGCCGTCTCTATGTGTCAAGCCTGGACTAAGTGCTTTCATAGCATTACCTACTGGGTTCTTAGAACAGTCCTACAGGTAGGTACCATCCTCATCATAATAGATGAAGTGTACCTCCAACGGATTTAGTCATGTGAAGTGTAAGGTCCCTAATAGCCCACCCTACACTCGAACCTCCCTGCTTTGGCATATGCCTCTGCCTCTGCCCCTCTCCTTACTTTTCACCTGACAGATGCCCACCTCGTCTTCAAAGTCACCCCACTGTGAAACCTTTTCTGGCATACCCACTGGGGATACAACAGGGAAGAAACAATTAATTCACATGAATTCAACCATATACTGTGTAGAATCCCAATGTATCAAACAAGCTGCAGACATAACCAAGCTTGAAACTAGGGGAAGAGAGGGTGGATTTTGTGAATAATTTTAAGGGCTTCTCAATCACACTGTCAGGTGACCAGACAAGAAGATATTAATGACCTGGACTAAAACTTAAAGACATTTAATTGATGGAGAACCATAAAGCAACAATGGCTATTGCAGATAGAGAACTTGATGTAGGGTTGCATATACAAAACTTTATGAGTAACTGAAGAGTTATTCAAGGAGAGTATGGAATATAAATAATTCCATCTTAGTCCTGAAGTTAACAATCTCACATAAAATGCAATTCCCTGAACCACAGTGTGGTAGAATTGATGCCTCATTCCAGTTCTAGTAGAGAGAGAGGCAAGATCAAAGTCACCCAAGTTCTGGCAGCTTTCTCTGACTCATTCTATTTTAAAATGGGACTTCTTTTGTTACCGTGTCTCTCTGATAGAAGGGAGTAGGCAGCTGAGAACTGGAGTTTGGGTTGTCAGCTCCTCCTGAAATAGTATGATAAATGCTACTGTACTGTGAGAACCTAGAAAGATGCCAAACCAATCGAGGGGATGGAGCAAAGAGGGTATCAGATAAGTCTTCCTGGAGGAAGAAATTAGCCAGTTTGGAGGAAAAGGGGAGGGAAAGGAAGTTTCAGGTAGGAGGAGCTTGTACAAAGGCTCAGAGGCAAGAAAAGGGAACCACAAGTAGCTTGGTAGGGGGAGTATGGAGTGAGGGTAATGCCAAGAGATAACTAACTCATTCTGTTAGAGGCGCAGATCATGATGGGCCTTGCAATCTATGTTTGCACATTGTCCTGAGCAACAGGTAGTCACTGTAGGCTTCTGGCAGACCAGTGAGAGGATAAGGCATGCTTGTAAAACACTGAGAAATCCTACTCCAAATCCAAAACAAACAAACAAACAAAAAGAAACAAAGAGCCAAGAAGTGCTAAATGAGACCCGAAAGAGCCCTCCCACATTAGCCAGCTCTGAACTGGGGAACTCTGAGGATGGCATTTATGGCTGGGTGCCCCATTCTCTTTTCTTGCTTCCTTCCTACAGGTACTCATTCTCCCTGGGCTGCCCATTAGCTGCCCAGAATCTCCAAGGCAGTATCTCACCTAGGGTCCTGCTCCCTAAACCTGCAATGATCTACCCCTCAGCCTACTCCCTGCAACTCACTTACCCAATGGAAATATAATAAGCACCTAGCATATGTAAGGCACTGTGTTACGTCCTGTAGCAATAAAGATGCAAATATCCAATGGTCTATGACCTCTAAGAAAAAGTCACATGTTCTAGACAGTTCCTCAAGGCCCTGTTTTCGGCTAAGGAATGCTGACAAAGGGACAAGCCCAAACATAGACTATCTTAGGCATTTACCAGTATTCAGGTTTTGGTTCCATCACTTAAATTCCCTGGGCCTCAATTTCATTATATAGAGGATAAAAGGGGTTAATGTGTTTTCCAGTTGGCAGTCTTTGAACCCCTGAGTCCTCTGATGCAGCACCCAAGAGCTCTTCTCAGTATTAAAGGCCAAAAGAAACCACACATCCAAAAGTAGTATGGCTTCACACCATCCCTCCATAACTAAAGTATTATATTGATTTGTTTTTGTGTTAGCTTCTGGCAGAAATTTTACTCAGTGTAGTAACACTGGTTACTTCCTGCTAATCAGAAATTCTAGTTGGCAGCGTGTATGTTTGATTAATGAGGGAAAAGAATTATTGTTCTTTAAATCATATTTGTTAAGACAAAATAATTCAAAACACGAGGGACAGGTGATGAAGAGATTAAGAATTATTAGGCTACAGATAGCTAACAGATTTCCCTCCTGCTTGAAAAATCCTATGATTCTAAGCTGATAAATGAAGTATGCTATTACGTGAATTTCTTATATTTATCAAGTAATGTGAGCATTTTAAAGAAAGATGCTTGTAATCTAATAATAAGATTAATTGTAAACTGAAATCTGGAGAGGCTAGAATTTTAAGGTCATCCTTCCAATTATACTAATACCTCCTCAAAGGATTGGTGCAGTGGTCCTTCCCCGCTAGGCCTGAGCCTCAGTGCAGCCTCAAAAACACCCATCACTGTTTTGAAAATTAGTAGACAATACACTTTGGCAGTGCCTTCACTGACATAAAAATAGTCAGCCCCCATCACAGACCTTGCCCTTAGAAGATTTCAGAGAATCCAATGCTTTGAAGACAGTCTTCTTACATGTTTTCTTCAGAGACTGCAGCTCCCTACACTTTCTTTCCACTGGTTTTAAATCCAACATCCTGGGCAAGCTAAACTTAGTGGGGCAAACCCAGACAACCTCCATATCTAAGCTTCCCTCTAGATCTCTACTTGTCAGCTCCACCACTGCTATTAGCCCATCCTACATCTCAGAGTGGGCTTGGCAGAGGACTGCTGGGCAGTAGCGATAGCTATGCCACATCCTCATCACAGGAACCCATGCATAAGACCAAGAAGATTCTAGCACAGCTGACTGTGGAGCATTGGTAGTAAGGCTCTAAAGTCTCTGTAAGGGGAAAACAGAACGTCTATTCCCAAATTCTCCAAATAATCTCTCCTTATCAGGGAGATTCTTTGATAACTTTGGCTCCACTAGCAACCAGAATATTTTACTGTAAAGGCCTGAACATTATGAAGTTATGATGTAATCTTTTGCTTGTTTTCAAAAAGACCTAACACCTGACCTCAACCCCTGTATTGCCTTCAAATCTGCTAAATATTTTTCCCTTGGAAAAGTCTTGTCTCTCTTTAAAAGATTTCAATTGCACTTTCCTAATCCTATGATCTTAAGGGTTGGTAAAAGGATAATCTGGTTTACCCAATAATCAGATTAAGAAATGTATCCTAACTCTGAGGCAGAAGAGAGGAATCTGGAGTTGAGCAACCCCGGAACTAAAAAATGTAGCCATACTCTTGTCTCAAGATGGAGAAGAGAGCAGAGGTTCAAGGAGAGGAGCCAGTCTTAGGACTCAAGTTTGCAAACGGGAACTGGCATCTTTTGGAGGCGCCACTTTCCAAGAACCTATCGTATTTGCAGATATGTCCTTTAACATGAGGAGGAAACTGAGGCACTCACCTTTAAGGGGCAATGAGAGGCCCTACCGAGAGGGGCAGAGCTGAGGAGAAAGCACAAAACTGGGACAAAGCCGCTGGCCAGGCCAATCCCACACACAGCTATAGAAGCCCACGCCCGCGAACCCCGCCTTCCTCCCCGCAGCCCCGCCTCCGGCACAGTCGCTTCCGGCGGAGAGGGGGCGCCCGCGCGCTCCCGCCGCGCCTGCGCGGTGAGAGACGGGTCAGCGCGCCGGCGCAGTGCGTCGGTCACAGGCTGACTGCTTGGGTACGGTCCTCCCCTCCCTTAGTGTTGACCCGGGAAGAGGGAAGATGGTGCTGGATCTGGACTTGTTTCGGGTGGATAAAGGAGGGGACCCAGCTCTTATCCGAGAGACGCAGGAGAAGCGCTTCAAGGACCCCAGACTAGTGGATCAGCTGGTGAAGGCAGACGGCGAGTGGCGACGATGTAAGTACCGGTACGCGCGGGGTGTCTCCCGATCCTAATCCCAATTTCGGCTCTCGGATCTCGTTTACCCCTCCTGAGGCCACAGCTTCCACCTTTCGTCAGACCCCCTCCCACGTTGCAGTGGCTCCGAGGCTCTCCCTATCGGCCAGAACGCACCCGAGGAGCCGGGACCGTCCCCCTTTCCCTCTGCCGGCTTGGCGTAAGCTCCCTTCCGCGCGTGCTCATTGCGGATCGCTGGGTCTCAGCCTGGGAAGAAGCATGACGCCTGCGCACTAAAAGCTGTCAAGCCTTCCTGCTGCAAGGGTAGCCGAAAGAAAGCCAGGGCGGAGGTTTTGGGGTCTCCCCTTTCCTAACACTTATGTTAGGTCGCCTCTGGTCTTTTTTTCATCTGCAGCTAGGCCACAGTGGTCTCCTAGTTAGATAGATCAAAAGCTCCAGCTGAGACTGAGTCACATCTGCAGCGTAATAGGTTCACTCCACCCATATTGGAAGTTTTTGGGGTCTTTGGAGGCCGCTCCTTTCTAAAAGCTGTGATCGAGGAACGTTGGGGAAAGCTATTCCCCAGATTTGTGGTCATACCTTTAAGAAAGGAGAAGACTTTTCCATGGTAGGTCAGACATAGAGAGAGGGGTGTGGCGAGACAAGAAAAAGCTTGTAATTATTGAGGCTTTTTTTTATTGTGATTTGTCCAAGTTTTCCGGAAAAGACATTTGCAGAGTTGGACTAGAACCTGGAACTGATCCAGCCATCTTTCATGAAACTAAATAAAACCATAGAACCCTCTGCCTAGATTAACCATAGTAGTCACTGATTGGCCGGATGCTGTCAAGCACATGTGATTAATTTTGTCTGATGCAATAAGTCGGCAACCAGCTGAGAGCCAAGTTTATGACAGCATACTGCAAAGGCAGTCGCTATCCAAGAATGGCGTGGATTTCTATTAGGAAAATTGATTTTCCTAAATTTATAAAGCTACTGGGTACCAAGAGAATATTTATTTAACTCGGGTTGTCTGCTGATTCTTTATGTCTCAAGTCACTCTAATGTGGTAGTTGTCGACTGTGAGATCTCACCGCCTGAATTTGAAATGCAATGAAGTTTGAGTTGCTGTGAATTAACTTAAATGGAAGGAAAAACTAGACTGGACATTGTTTTACTGAATCAGAAGTATTAGATTTTTATATCAGATTTTAGGCTAGCCATTGTCCAGCACTAAATGTCTTTGAATGTATTGGATAATCTCTTGCGTATAATGCACACATCTATGGTAAATTTTATCCAATTCCTGATGAATGGATATATGGTGAGGGGATAAGTTCTTCAGGGACATGGCTGTGTTTTATTCATCTGTATGTCTCAGTACCTAGGGTGTACATATACAGTATATACATATATATATATGTGTACATATAATCCCAGTACCTAGGACTGCATCTGCTCCTTGGTAAGGGCTTGACAAACCTTTGTGAATCCGTGAATGTCTTCTGTGTTTAGGGCACTTTGCCCTTCTATATGAAAAGCAGTTTATGTAGTTTATTTTCAACACACTTATTCTTTTCTGGTATCCCTTACCAATATTCTCTTTGCAGCCAAAGGGAGTTAATGATTTTTTCCAAGTCACTAGCTGCTGAAGTAGGACATTGACAGATTTTGTCTCAAGGTTCTTTTATATCTGAACCTCACATCAGAGGTAAGGGCTCTTCAGTCATTGGCTGCAAAAAGGACTTGTACCCAGAACCACATTAAGAACTCAGATTGTGTTCCCTGACTATGGACATAGCAAACGTCACAAGGCCCTCTGTTACAACAGTACTTATCAGTCTGCCTGTAGACCTCTAAGGTGCCATTAGGACTCTCAAAGGAATCTGACAAAACTTAGAGTCACAGTACCACAGAATTTACCACAGCTCTTCTGATTCCAAGGATTCAAACTATAATTTCTTCCTTTGAATTCAGAGTAGTACAATGAGGACACATTTGGTGACATGATAAACATTTGTCTCAACTACTTTCAAAGCCACTAGATTTCCACCTATCTTGAAATCTGCTGCTGACTACAGGAATTCTGTCCTCCCCCAAAAGGGCTTTTATGAATGAGATTTCTTTTTACTATCAATTGAATTTATTGAATTTAACCCTTCCTGTAAATGCCTTTATCCAGGCTCTTATCATTGGAATAACTTTGTACTGCTTTCAGTTTCACTTCAGTCTCACCCAGCGACATGTCATCCTGGCCACACCCAGGACGTATGATCTTTTTGGAATGCAAGTCTAATCATTTTACTTCCAGGCTTAAGTCTTGCAATGACATTCATACCTTAAAGCAGTGCATTATGATAGAAATATAATATAATGTGGGCCACAGGTATAATTGTAAGTTTTCTTGTAGCCACTTAAAAAATATAAAGAAAAACAGATGAAATTAATTTTAGTAATAATATTTTATGTAACCCACTAAATCTGAAAGTTGTATTTGTTACATGTAATCAATATTAAAAAAACACTGAGATGTTTTACATTCTTTTTTTACAAGTCTTCAAAATCTAGTGTATATTTTACACTTAACAGTACATCTCAATTCAAGCTAGTCATGTTTCAAATGCTCAATAGCCATATGTAGCTACTTGCTACCCTATTGAACAGTGTAGCTTTAAAACATAAACATCTAAATTTCTTAACACAGTTTACAAAGTCTCACCTTCTTTCCTAGTCTCATCTTCTGCTTCTCTCCCACATCTGACCCCTGCTCTTTTCTAGCCTTGTTATGCCACTCATACTCTTTCACATGTCCATCACTGTTGCCTTTTCTTGGGAGATGCCCCCACTCCCACCAGCCCTCTTTGCCACCCAATTCTGCTCCCATAGTACTACTTCATCTCTTGTGTGCTCTCGATATATTATCTCATGTATCTCTTGTGGCATTTATACTAATTTTATATACAAACTTTAAAACTTATTTTTAATTGAGATGCAATATATTTAGTGAAATGCACAAATTTTAATGTGCAGCTTGATGAATTTAACAAATCTGTACACCCATGTAACCACCACCCAGATCAAGATCTAAGACATTTGCAGCACCCCAGCAGGCTCCCTCGTGCCCCCTCACAGTCACTTCTCACCTCCAAAAATAACAGTGTTCCGCTATCTACTGTCAGGGACCCCAAAATAAGGTCCTTTTGCTTATATTGCCACTTAGAGCAATATAACGAGACTGAATTCTGTAAAAGAAAGCAGAAACTTGACTCTTTGATCAAAGAAAGGAGAAGGAGATTATGCTGTAAAGATACCTTCCCGAGTTAAGGAAATTCGGAGAGTCTTAAGGATTGATGAGAGGCAGGTGGGTTCAGGGGTGGAGATCTCCCAGAAAAGAGTGGGAAGTTCTCCGCAGTGTGGGGGAGCATGTGGTAGTTTCTAAACACACTTGGAACATGCATGGCCATACATCACATGTCTCATGTAATGTTAAGGCTCTACCCATGGGCATGATTTCTAGCATGCCACCAAAGGAAAGTTCGTCAAAAGATCACCTGGCAACAGGTTTCAGCGCCATCTTGGATCCTTCCGGTGCAAACCGGTTTCTTAGCCATGTCCTTGGGTCTCTTTTGTGGTCCTTGTGGGCTGGCTTAGCTATTTCTGGAATTTCTGCACTTTCCTGTCCAGTTCAGCCTGTTTCATCATGGGATACAGTAGAGGAGAAAAGACAAGAAATAAAAGTTTAAGGATTAACTAACTAATAATGTGGTGGCACAACCTGGTGACACTGCCACCATAAATTACTTTTGCCTGATTTTGAACTTTGTGTAAATGGTCTTGTATAATATATACTTTTTTATGTGGCTTTTTTCTCAAAATGATGTCTGTAAGATGATTGCATGTTCTTATGGTTGGTTCTTTTTCATGGCTGTACAGTACTCCATTTTGTAAATATACCAGCCAATTCTGTGGATGGACTTGGATTGTTAACAGTTTGAGGGTATTAAGAATAAGGTGCTATGAACATTGTTATGTGTCTTTTGGTAGACATAAGTACTCATTCCTGTTGGGTTGGTACCCAGGAGTGGAATTGCTGGTCATAGGGTCTGCACATGTTAGATTTAGTAGATATTATCAAATATTTTTCCAAAGTGGTTGTAGCAATTGGTATTCCCACCAGTGATACAAAAGTTCCAGTTGCTCTGCATCCTTGCCCTTGATATTGTCAGTCCCTTCAATTTTAGCCATTTCGATGGACGGGTAGTGGTATATCAGTGTGGTTTTCATTTACTTTTTTTTATGACTAAAGATATTGAACACTTTTGCATATACTTGTGAGTGTTTGGACAGACTGTTATTGGGACAGTATCTGTTCAATCCTGTTGACCAATTTTTATTTGTGTGTCATCGATTTGTAGGAATTTCGATCTATTCTGGGTACAAGACCTTCTCAAATAATATATATATTGCAGGTCTTTTCTCCCAGTCTGACTTGCCTTTTCAC